TAATGACGGTAAATAAATTACCAGATATTATGTATGTAGAAAGTAATCAAAGTTGTATTGTGTAACACCCCAAGACATCAGAATGAAAGAAAAAGCAAAGCCAACCGGAACACACACCAGGATGACATCGTTTTACCCCTTGGGCTGTTAGTTGTTGTTGATTTGTTAGTTGTTACTAGATATTTCCCTTGTATAAGTAGGGGATAGATTTGACTGGAGGATTATGCTTGGAATTTATCAACTATTTTCTCTTTTCTCTCAATTCCCTCTTTATTCTCTCTCTCGCCCAGTCGCCCCTCTGCATTTCTTCTTCTTCCTTCCCCAGATTATGTTTTCTTCTTCTCCCTCTTGTAATACTGTTCTGCTCTTCCCTTTCTCCCCTACTTTGATCTAAGGTTCATTACTATTGGTATCAGAGCCCTATCTCCCTTCACCATGGAAGCTCAATTGAGTAAATTAGAAGCTCAGATGACTAAAGCAAGCGTCAAAATTGATAAGCGATTCCAGGCTACTAAAGATTTGGTGGAGAGAATCATGGCTAAGATGGAGTTTAGGATGTCCAGCTCGAGAGATGAGATACTGGAGGCGATCGGACTCAACACATCAGCTCCTCCGATTCCGGATGATAAATTAGGGATCTTCGCCGGAGATTAAGAAGTGGTGATCTTTGGTGGAGATTTAGAAGCTGCGATCTTCGTCGGAAATTACGAAATAGTAGAGACAAACCTAGGTGTTGAGGTTCATTACAAGGACATGCATCTTTGTCCATACAGAATAGACACTTCAACCACACAAATTATAATCAATGAGTTTCCTTCAAGCGTAACACTAAGAGGCACTTTCTTCTTTGATGTTTGGGTTGATGAGAACTCATTCAGAAGGCGTCTCTTTACCACTGAACTACCACCCACAACTTCACCATTGCCAATCTAGTGATACATTAAGTTATTAAGTTATTTGAGCCCGATAGAATAAAATTTTTAGTGTACTGGAGATTGAAGAACACAATTCCCTAAATATTATTATTGTTCAAAATAATAGAATCAATCTTAATACATCCACTTAAAAAAAAACATATTTGCATATTACATAATACTTGAAACCTATTGTAAAATGTGATACATATAAAAGAGGAAAAAGCTACACAATACTTGAGCCCTTATAAGTCATCACTTTATTCTTCAATCCAGCACTATTCCTCAACATCAACCTAATAATAAAAGAAATTAGTTAGAAATAAGATTTTTAAAAAAGATTGAAACTGTTAATTTGTTATTACCCAATAAAATTGAGAATGATGATCACCAATGCCTAGCTGTAATACTTTCTGCAATATGTGGAAATTCAAGAGAACAATTATAATAGAAAACAGTTAATAAATAAATATAAAAGGAAACTAAAACATGAATATAACATTTTATACTGCAACATTAAAAAAACATAAACTGCATAATCACCAAAAATGAACTTGTAATCCTTACTTCACCTATAGAAACTAATGTTAATAGAATGAAATGCTCCAAATTGAAAAGCCAAGCTCCAAATTGCTCTTCCTCAATCTTCTATTTCAGTCTTGGTGATGGAATACTGAGTTTTGGGCTGTTTTATAGGTGATTTAGGAGTGTTTGAGTAAATATGGAGTTGAGAGATTGAGTTAAGGATTTTTTTATTTAAATCTTAATAATTCAGCCATACAGTTGAATTTGAATGAGAGTTTGTAATTTAGTTAATTTAACAGAGAATAACGGAGAATTATAAAACTAATAATGAAGAATATATAATTTTTAACGGGAAAAAGAATAATATAATATTGTCGAATAGAAATATAAATTTTAATATTGTTGTATCCTATTACGAATAGGAATTTTAATGTAGAATTGTAGTACGAATGGGAAAGTATGAAACAATATATTCTATTAAAAATTGTATTACACTATTTTATAATGTTAGAATAGGAATTTTAATGTAGAATTGTAATACGAATAGAAAAGTATAAAATAATATATTCTATTAGGAATTGTATTACACTATTTTACAATAGTATAGGAATATTTTGGGCGGGAAGTTAAAACTAATAATTTTATTTTTATATATAGTATAGATATAGATTATTATGTGAACTGTAATTCACACAGTTGTGTGGACCGTAATGATTGCTCTATTAACGATTAGTCTCATAACAGTATTCAAGTTTATATTAACTGTTGATTTTGAAAGAAAAAAAAAATTAAAACTATATGTTCTAAAACAAATTGTCTTCTTTCATATATTTCATTTAAAAAAAAAAAAAACTTACACAATATTTATTTATTACACAATAAATACATTTAAAGCGCCAAGACTATGTGGTCTAATGGTACCCAGGTTGGACTTCCATTTGGAAGATTACGAGTTCGAGCCTCAGTGGAGGCGTTATTGGTTCTTTGTGTTTCAGTAGGTTGAGAAAGTATATGAACACATACTACAATGTAATAGGGCCAGTAACATCCAAAATAATAATAATAAATAACTACATTTAAGGCCATGTTTGATAAAGTTTATTTTCAAGCTTATAGCTTAAATATACATATTATCGTAAAGATGGAGTATTAGGCACTAAGCATTATATTGTACTTTCCTATTGTATATATCTTGTTCGGTCTAGACGACTAAAGTTAATCATAAATTATTTTTTTATAATATTAAGTTTATCATTAATATATAAAATTTTAAAACTACATTAAAAGTATTATTAGACACACACAAAAAAAAAAAATTAAAAAAACTATACAAAAATAAGTAAAGTCCATCATCTTAGTGAACCTTTCGGATTTACAATTAAAAAATGCCTTAGTCTAGAAAAATAAAAGAATTTTGGGACCTAACTATTAAAATATGTTTGGTATTCATCAAATTGAAATCTAAGCCAATTGATGAAAATTGGCCAAGTCGAGCCGGACTTTATAAAAGTAGGTATAAGTCTGCTATAAAAACTTAAGGCCTAAGCCTAGACTTTTATAAAGTTTTCATGGTATTTTATGATTTTCAAAGCCTCACATAATACAGTTTCACAAAAAACATTATGATTTTTGACAGTTTTTATGGTATTATTAAATATCATAATTTCCTATTCGAGTAAAATACAGACAGCAATATATAAATACACATAGTTATACCTATCACTTGTGAGAATATAAAAGAGTATAATAAATGTAATTAAAGAAATTTTCTTTATGAGATAATCACATTTTTAATCGTTAAATTATTTCGTATCTTGAACTGTAATTTCTTAATTTTTAAGTAAGCAAATGTGATCCTTCAATATTTGTTGAAGTTGTCAATTTTTCCCTTCAATCTAATAGAATTGATGGACAAAATTGGCAACTTCACTGAAAATTATAAAACGAATTTTGTTTACTTAAGAGTCGGAGGAACTACATTCGAAATGAAAATAATTAACACAATCAAAGTGTGATTTTTCTATCTTTTATTAAAGAAGTTTAATAATTTTGATATAAATTTTGTTAACCTTTGACACAAAATATTAGATATTGTTTAATTTTTTTTTTATTAGTACATCTAAGGAATTCATGATCAAACTTCTTAAAGTCATGAGGGTTGATTATATAATTGTTTTGCTCTATTGCGATAAATTATTGTGTGGATCGGATCCACACAACAATAATTGATCTTTAACGATTAGTCTCATAACAAAAAATTAAAACTATATGTTCTAAAATAAATTGTCTTTCTTTCATTTATTTCATTTAATATGAAAAAACAATTTACATAATATTTATTATGAGAAAAAAAAAAGAAGAGAAATGTATGATTAAATAAATGCATTAAGGCTCTACTTTGTAAAGCTTATTTTATAGCTTATGGCTTAAATATATACAATATTTTTTGTAAAAATGGAGCATCAGGCACTAAGCATTATTATACTTCCCTATTGTTTATATCTAGTTCAGTATAGACGACTAAAGTTATTCATAATTTAATTTTTTATAATATTAAAGTTATCATTAATATATAAAATTTTTATATTTAAAAACAATATTAAAAGTATTATTTTTTTGAAAGGTATTAAAAGTATTATTAAACACACACAAAAAAAAAAGAAAAACTAAACAAAAATAAGTAAAATGAAATTGTTGGTGTTGAAGTATATAAATGAACAACAAATAGGTGGCTGCCCTTGCTAGGAATGCCCTTGCTTCTATTGTGTACTGCCACCTATTTGTTGTTCATTTATATACTTCAACAGTTGGTTTGATCAGTAAATAATAAATATTACAACATATCAAATGTAACAGATGGAATATTAAGTTATTGTAATGTAATCATTTTGGGCACACATTTGAAGGGGCTGTGGTGGTCAATTGCTTAACATATATATTGCGAGAAGCGTAGAAAACAAAGGGAGGAGAACTGCGTAACATTCATCAGAAAAAGAAGGATGATAAAATCTGTTTTTACAGAGAGGGAAACTGCCACCTTATATACATGGATGGCAGTTCAGTTACAATCAGTTGCAACGAATCTTGAGCTTGCCAAAATTCCCTTTTGTCCCTCTTCCTCTAATAATATATACTTTAACGTACAGGAACGTAACCAACAATAATATATTATATATATATAATCTGTATTTATTCATGAAATATGCTCGTAAGTATAAATAGAAGTGATCTTCATCCTTTTGCTTCGTTCAATCCCAAACAGCAGCTAGCCATTTCTCTCAAGAAGAGCACGGAGTTCTTGTTAGTCGTTGTTTCCTTTTCTTCTGTGTATATATATTCTAATACATACATTCTCATTCTTTGTTGAATTTTCGTTTGTTATGGAATTTGTTGGGCGGAGGCCAGTAAGGGTCAAGTCTGACTCTAAAAAATGTGTGACTAACTATAGCTTTTGGATAAGTGATTTTAAAGATGGATAAGATTATTCTTTGACAAGCTAATTAAGGAAGAGTAGTGCAGATCGATATGTCTTCTTCAACGATGAGAGTACAGTGCAGGATATGCCATGGTGAAGATTTGGATTCAAATAGGGAGGTTCCATGCTCTTGCCGGGGTATCTTAAAGGTAGGTAGATTTGTACGTGGAACTAATTGCTAAGCTAGCTAGCTTATTTTAATTCCCTCGCCCAACTTCTCATATATAATCTATTGTTTTTAATTTTACTTACATAAGTGCAAATCAAATTTATTTGGAGCTTAATCATATTAATTTGTTTTGGACGGTTTCAGTACGCACATAGGGGATGTGTCCAAAGCTGGTGCAATCAGAAAGGTGACACTGTGTGTGAAATTTGTCACCAGGTAATTAAGCATTTTTTTTATTTGTTAGACTACGAAATGTCCTAAGTAGATCTTAATTATAGGTTGTACTCTAAATCTAAATGTATCATTGTAAATCTAATGGAGATTATTGTTAACACATTCTATTACTTACATGAAGCCCAAACAATATGAGTTTATGGTTTTAAGCTGATTGGAGTGGATTCATGTTTAAATCTTATTTTCTCATTCTTTTATTTATTTTAATTTTTTTTCTTGACTTTCTTTAACTGTAATGTAGCCTTTCCAGCCTAATTATACAGCACCTCCCCCCCCCCCCCCCCCCCCCTCATTCGTCGCTATGGGAGCCTTCCTAGCCTCTTAAGGTGATCAATTAGGTTTCCCACTTTACATCTGATGTAATCTCAATTACACATATTTTTATTGGTTATTTGGTTCATTTTGGAAGCTTAAATTCAATGGATTGGCATGTCCAACGCCTTTTCCCTTGTTTTCTCATTAAAATATGGTTATACACTTGCTTTGAATGTTTTACGGTGTTTGGTAGTGTTTTTAAGTCATTTTAGGACTAATGCAAAAGCAAGGAAGGTTGTCCAAGCAAAAGCGGAGTCAAAATGAAGTAGGAAGGAAGTCAACGGCGATTCGACGCGTCGAGAATTCACTACTGGAAATTATAAAATTTCCCACCACCTAAAAGTAATCTTAAATCAAGTCGAAAGCAAAAAGTGGTCGGAAATAGCAACAAAGATTTTTCCGGATACCAAAAGTGATCAGAATAAGGCTTTCGACTTGATTTAAGATCATTTTCAGGTGGTCGGAAATTTCATAATTTTCAGTACGCACATTGAAGAAAGCATCGAAGGCTCGACGCGTCGAGGTCGCGAATTCCAGATCTTTCCAAAGCCGCGAAGACTTCCCAAATTGCCCCCAATTCAGCTTCTACTATAACCTTTCTATCAACCCAAGAGACCAGACCGCGATTTTGGAGACAAGAACATAGCAAATTCAAGAGGAACAAGATCAAGATCTACAATAGGGCTTGGAGTGGAGAAATCGCTAGGAAGATTCGGGAGAATTCTTTCCCTATTTCTTTTACTTCAATCGTTGTTTTGTTTATTCTTGATTTTGATTTGAATGTTATTATGACCATGAGTTGCTAAAACACCTTGGGGATTTCTGGGTGAATGTGTTTATGAACCTATGTGCCAAGAGCTTAATTTCTTTAATATATTTATGACAGTTTTTATTACTATACGTGTGTGGCAACCGCGTATCTGAATGTTGTTGCTAGTAATTGAAGGCCTAAATTGCTTGCTTCATAGCCATATTCATGTCTGAACGGGAGTTAGGCATAAATTAGGGCACACTCATTTGCACTTGACTGTTGCGCCTTGAGAAAGGGCAATTTTGTTAGGGAATTTAATTAATAATTATTGTTAGTTCGAGAGATGGTAGTAATTAGGAATTAACGAATGTCGTTTCTTGTTCTTATTGAGTGTTTGTCGCACGGGAGTGGATAATCACCAGGGATTGAGATTACGAGAGTAATTCAATTTCACATCTGCATTCTCACACAGGTCTAAATCTGAATTAAATATTACATCTTTGATTGACACTAGGGGATTAAACACTTAGATCCCAGAAATTCTATTTTGCTCTTCTGTCTTCATCAATCTGCTTAGTTAGTTATTTTCTCGCTTACAGTTGCCAAAATCATCTGTTTTGTTAGGACTAGCTTTACGTGAATAGTCTAGTAGCTAGTTCTTAGTACCCCAATTTCCTGTGGATCAACTACCCGTACTCAGGGTATTTATTTGTTTGCAAATTTACTACAATCAACATCTCATCTTCAGTGTGTGTATATATATATATATATATATATATATATATATATATATATATATATATATATATATATATATATATATATACACGCCAAGCTTCTTTAATATCATATATATTGTATACTCGTATTTATGAATTTAATTTGTTGTTTATATCTATGAGGGGAGGTACGATAGTTCAAAGGAGACACTCGAATAATTGGCCAATTCCGTTTACCGCGTGGATAAGAGAGCAGCAAAATGGGAATGATTCATCATCTAATTCTTGAATATATATATATATATATATATATATATATATATATATATACACACATTATTCCGTATATTAGTGATTCACCTTACAAGATGAACCATAATTCATGCTATAATAATTGACAATTTAATCAAATTGACAACTTGAGCAAAAATTTAACAAATCATATTTGTTTCCATAAGAATCGAAGGACTAGCACATTTTAAAATTGAAAATAATTTAAAATAAGTGTGATTTTTCAATCTTTTATTAAAGAAGATTACAAATTTTGATATAAATTTTGTTAATCTTTGACCCAAAATATTGGATATTGTTTATTGTTTTTCATCAGTGCACCTAATTAAGAACATGGTGATCAAACAATATCCTTGAACTTCAATATAAGTATAATAAAAATAAAATCAAATTGGATATCAAAAATAAAATAAAATAAAATCTTGTGACATTTATTAAAACACAAAATTTAAAAACATGTATATTAGTTTTTGAATTGTGAATCTAGATTAAACAGGTAATACTTTTTAGTGATAATATAATATTTTATAAAATCTTTTTTAAAAATATTACGTCTCTCACATAACACAATTTCATAAGAATTTTACGATTTTAAAAACTTTTTATGGTATTATTAAACACTATAGTATAATTTCCGATCGAGAAAATTGTATCTATATATAAATACACATGAGGAAATTTCAATTTTGGTCCTATGACTATAGGGGTCTTGTTAATTTCAGTCCCTGACTTTCAAAAGTGTCAATTTAGTACCTTGACTATGCAATTTTGTCAATTTTGGTCACTCAGACCAAATTGCCGGCCAAATTTTGTCGGAAAACTTTTATAGTTAAAATAATGAGGGTATTTTAGTCTTTTTGCCTCTCATTTCTTTCACCCCCATTTTTTCACCGGATCTACTGTAAATTTCGGCGGAGAAAACATTCACCGACGTCGGTTTCTAGAGGGTCCAATCGTGACCAGGCCACCGTTGGACCCAGTCCGAGACCTTCTTCCAGAATTTGCGGACTTGGACGATGATATCATGCTCGACGACGTCGTAGGACACTTCAACCACTATGCCCTCATCGACACTGCCATGCAGCCGGCCAACTTGACCATAAGTCGGCGACCCATTTCCACAGCGTTTCCGTTGATTCCGATTTCTTCGATGGTCTGGAGTTTGGTGCTTTGTCAACTGTCGACAACAGAGCACACACCCCGCTCTCGTCGGAGAAGATGGCGAAATGGGGGAGAAATAAAATAGATTTAAAAAGACCAAAATACCCTCATTATTTTAACTACAAAAGTTTTTCGGCAAAATTTAACCAGAGTGACCAAAATTGACAAAAATTGCATAGTCAAGGTACTAAATTGACACTGTTAAAAGTCGGGGACTGAAATTAACGACACCCCTATAGTCATAGGACCAAAATTGAAATTTCCCTCAAATACACATAGTTATAACTACCACTTCATTCACTTGTGAGAAATTAAAAGAGGTATAATACTACATGTAATCAAAGAATTTGCTTTATGGGATAGTCTCATTTTTAATTTTCAAATATTTTTTTTTTGTAATCTTTAAATGTAATTTCTTAAGATTGAAGTAAATAATGTTACATGTAACTTGTGACGGATTGAATTTATTGCGGAGTATATTTTAATAATTTGGACACATTTGAAGGGGTGGGGGTGGTCAATTGCCGAAACGAACTGTAACCTACATGAACCAACTGTGTATATATATAATCTGTATTTTATACATGAAATCTGGAGTACTGGTATAATAGCAGTGATGGATTCTTTTGATTCGTTCCCAAACAGCGATTTTTCTGAAGAAGAGAAGGGAGTCTTTGTAAGTCTTAATTTCTTTCTAGTTCTTCTGTGTATATTCTAATAAATTCCATTCTTCATTGAGTTAATTCTTTGTTTGATATGGACTTATAACTTAATTTTCATTCTAAAGATCATTCTTTGGCCCCTGGGTTTGCTTCATTCTTTGGTCTTTCTGCTTTCTCCAAGGAATCGAAAACTGCAGATATGGCTTCAAGCAAGATGGTAGAATGCAGAATATGGAGACTCCTTGCTCTTGCCGTGGTACCTTGAAGGTTTGTGAGCTTCTTTTCATTTTTTTTTTAATAAAATCTAAAATTTTCAATTTCACCCGACTATATCATGTGCTCTATGAACCTTTCTTGAACGTGTTTAATTTATTTTCCCCAACTGTTGGGCTGAGGCGACTAATGGCTAACTCCAACCCCATGTGACTAGTCATGAATTATTGGACGTAGGCTGATAAAAGATTAAGTCCAACACCCTGAATCTTGAAAAGGTGTGACGGTATAAAGAAATAAAGCTTTATATTCACTATTAAAAATAGCTTTTGATCCTAACACCAACTTATCATAGTCTACTGTTTTAATGTATTCAAATAGGAGAAGAATTTGGAATTTGGACTACTAATTTATCTCTAAGTGCTTAATTAGCTTTCATAAGGATCTGGTTTTTCAAGTAGCCATAAAATAATCAATATATATATATATATATATATATATATATATATATATATATATTGATTATTCGACACATTATTCTTAATTAGCTTGTATTTGTTTTGGGCGGTTTCAGTACGCACATAGAGCATGTGTGCAAAGGTGGTGCAATGAGAAAGGTGACACTGTGTGTGAGATTTACCACCAAGTAATATTAAGTTCGGTTGTTGTTAGATAATGAAATGTCCGAGTAAGGTCTAATTATAGCTTATAAGAAATACTTTGTGCATGTATTATACTCAGACTAATTTCCATTCACATCAAAATTAAGCTCTTTTTTGCTTTTGTTCACGTCTTCAATCCAAATGTATCATTGTAAATCTAATAGAGATTATTGTTACTACTTTCTATTACTTGAAGCCCAAACAATACCAGTTTTAAAGTTTTAATTCGAAGTGGATTGGTGTTTAATAAATATTTCTCTTTTATTTATTTACTTACTTTTATTTGTTTCAATGCAGCCTTTCAAGCCTGATTATACAGCACCTCCCCGTGTTCGTCACTATGGGAGCTTAAGGTAATCAATTAGGTTTCATACTTTACATCTTTAGCATGCCAGGGCGTACCTAAACCGGGTAGTAAAGTACCACGGAATTCCCCAAAATATTGTGTCCGATAGAGATCCCAGGTTCCTCTCGCAATTTTGGAAATCTCTACAGACAGCCATGGGGACAAGACTGAGCTTGAGCACTGCCTTCCACCCCACTACCGACGGCCAAACCGAGAGAACCATTCAAACTCTCGAAGACATGCTAAGAGCCTGCATGATAGACTTCCAGGGGACATGGGAAGAACACCTAGACCTTATCGAATTCTCTTACAACAATAGCTATCACGCAAGCATCCGCATGGCTCCCTACGAAGCACTATATGGTCAAAAATGTAGGACACCCTGATGTTGGGAAGACATGGTCAACCCAGTGACTCTGGGACCACAATACTTGCAAGACACCATAACTAAAGTCAAACGCATACAAGGAAGAATGAAGGCTGCCCAGGACCGCCAGAAATCTTAAGCCGACTTGGGGAGAAAGCAAGCCGAATTCTCCACAGGAGAGAAGGTCTGGCTAAGAATCTCACCCACTAGAGGGGTGATGAGGTTCGGAAAGAAGGGGAAACTCAGTCCCCGGTTCATTGGACCCTACGAAATCTTAGAAAAAAGTTGGGAACTTGGCCTACCGCCTCGCCCTACCCGCTGAGCTGGAGCGGGTGCACAACGTATTCCACATATATCAGCTAAAGAAATACATACACGATGCAAGTCACGTGCTACAACCCGAGGCCGTGAGCCTGGAGACACACTAACCTACGAAGAGAAACCCATGAGGATCCTAGACACTAAGACAAGGGCCGTTCGCTAACGAACCATAGAAATGGTAAAGATCCTCTGTTCCAATCACGGAGCTGAAGAGGCAATTAACATGGGAACTCAAAGACGCCATGAGGGAACGCTACCCCGAACTCTTCACGCAAGGTAACCAAGGCGAAATCATAGGATAAGGAGAAGGTCGACTCAGCAAACCAAAGCTCCGGGGACGAAGCTTTCCGTTAAGGGGGGGGGGGGGGGAGGGTGTAACACCCCGTGTTACGGCCCCTAAACCAATTAATTATTTAATCACTTACCCTAAAAAGAGAATTAAATTCCATTAATTAATTAGGAAGGGTCCACCATAGACCATGAACCCTTATCCCTAAACCAATCCCTTAGTCCTATAAGAAATAGAATTAGCAAACCCATACCATTCAGACCCCAATTAGGACTCTTAGATATATAAATAGGGACATATAAGGCACCTAGAAGTCACACCACAATAGCTTTCACCACACAAGAATTCCCAAGAATTCCCATAGGAGAAATCAAGAAGAGGAGATCTTAGAAAAAGACCCTTTATAGCCAAGGATTCGAATTAAGGCTAAGAGGTAACCCATGTCTCAACAAAACCTATTTTCCTTTCTATAATCTTCTTCTTTGGCTCCTTTTCTATGCTTGTGTCTTGATAAATCTTTTATAATGATGATGATGATATGATCTTGATGATTGATGAGATGATCTTGATAATCTTGATGGTTATAAGAGGATCTTGATAATTGTGTGTTGTTCTTGATAAATCTTGATGTTCTTGATTTTAAAGATAAACTATGATTTTGATGATTTGAATATGATTAGAGCCCTAGGTTAAATGGGGGATTTCGTATTGTGATATTCTCGATATAATTGGATGGAATTTCGCATGCTCGGGTGTTAATTATGTTTAGAAGTCATGTTAGGATGGGTTCAATATGATTCTTGGTTTTGATCCATTATTTGACTACGTGGTGTCGTCGTTATGTTTAAAAGTGTCTAAGCATGGTTTCGGGTTCCACGAAAAGATCCCGGGACCAATATATTTAAAAAGAGTCAGTGGGGGGTAGGGGAACTCGCTGCCCCAAATGGGCGTCGCCGGCAGTGGGCAGCCGGCGGGCAGGCGACTGCCCGGTACTTCGCCGCCGGCGGGTGGTCCTCCACCCGCTGGATTTTCCTACTTCGGGATGGTGGTTTCCCCGTTTGATGTTTCCCCGACCCTCGTGGTGTCCCAACGAACTCCGTTTATCGTGCCTAAGTCTAGTTGGATGTTTCGGGTACCATTCGTAGGATAATAGAGTCTTATGTATTGCATGCTAGTTGTATCGGTACCCCTTTGGCCTAGGTGAAAGGAGTATGAACCCCTTAGGATTATTCCTAGTATGTGGATGACCACGCATAGGTTTCATTATACGTTTTCTCCCCCTTCCCAATGTGTTACTGTGGGTTGCATGTGCTTGATATGTGTTATGTGTGCATGATTCCCCAATATTGGCTGCGGTCAAATTGGTTATACATGAGATGCGGTTCATAAGCTGGCTGCGGTCAGAAATACACTTTTGGGCTGCGGTCCAACGTTTGGCTCGCAAACATTTTACATGAGCTGCGGTTCATAGCCTGACTGCGGTCAGAGATACACTTTTGGGCTGCGGTCCACCGTTTGGCTTGCAAACGGTTTGATGAGCTGCGGTTCATCGGTTGGCTGCGGCTAACCCCTTCATGCTGCGGTATGCGGTGGGTGCTGCGGGGCCGTGTTAGCGCTATATGCGCTGACCCTCATGTATGGGCATGCGATTGGTCCTGTGGCGCCACCAAAGTGTGCTTATGTGATGAGATAATGATTGAATGATGATATGAATAATGTGAAATATGCTTGTGACCTTAGGATATATGCTAGTGTCTTTATATGTTTGATTATAATTGTCGAATGTGCTTGTCACTACTAGTCGAGTCTATTCCTGGTTTTAACTAGAGTCTCCTAAGTATATATCTTCCTGCTTCAAAATGGTTTTCCAATATATATATATATATATATATATATATATATATATATATATATATATATATATATATATATATATATATATATATATATATATATATATATATATATATGTATCTACTATACTAATAAGAGCCCAAGAGAGTTAGGCCTATAATGGGTAGAAAAAATGGCGGTCACAGATTTTAATCAAATGAATGGCTCAGATTGATTAAAAGATTGATAAGATTTAAATTTTACACTAAAATTTCCTAAAATACCCACACACCGTTACTAATTCCATTAAAATTTTAAGAATTGCCGTTAGTTCACCGTTAACTTACTCATTGATTTCAATAAAAAAAAAAAAAAAAAAGGTCTTAGGTTCGAACCTCATCCAATCAAAGTTGGCATAATTAGTACTCTATTTTACTCTTATTAAATTATATAAATATAAATAATAATTTAGTAGCTACAACAAAAAATTATAGATATGCATTTATTTAATTTAGAATTATGTGTCCATAATGCCTTTATTCAAAAAATAATTATTCATTATCAATAAATTAAATAAGAGAAATAATTGTATTAGTTATATTGTCTTCATTTTTCTACAATAAGATTTAAATTTTACACTAAAATTTCCTAAAATACCCACACACCGTTACTAATTCCGTTAAAATTTTAAGAATTGTTGTTAGTTCACCGTTAACTTACTCATTGATTTCAATAATAAAAAAAAAAAAGGTTTTAGGTTCGAACCTCATCCCAATCAAAGTTGACATAATTAGTACTCTATTTTACTCTTATTAAATTATATAAATATAAATAATAATTTAGTAGCTACAACAAAAAATTATAGATATGCATTTATTTAATTTAGAATTATGTGTCAACAATGCCTTTATTCAAAAAAAAATTATTCATTATCAATAAATTAAATAAGAGAAATAATTGTATTAGTTATATTGTCTTTATTTTTCTACAATATAAAAATTATTTATATTCAAATTTATTAATTGATTATATTCGCTACATTGTCCTTACAATGTCTTAATTCAGTGAAAAAAATTATTCATTATCAATAAATTAATTAAGAGAAATATTTTCATTAGTTATATTGTCTTTATTTTTCTCAAATGTAAAAATTTTTACATTCAAATTCATCAATTGATTATATTCACTACATTGTCTATTATCTTTTTTGTGCACTATTTTTCTAATTAAATATCAAAGTTATAATACAAAATAATGCTATATATTTATTTACCAAGTATTTTATTAATACCATGAAAAAATTAAAAAAAAATATATAATTAATAAAGCCAACCATATTAACTACTTGAGAGATTTTGTGACAAAGAGAGTATTCAAATCACACAACAAATTGAAGTGAGAACTACCTTGCAATGTCCTTGTTTGACAATCAGCAGTTAGAGCACGGATTATATTAGCGGATTTGACCAACGAATTTATTTAATTATTAACATTGGGTAGAAAAAATGACCTCCAAATTATTAAATCAAATGAATGGTTCAAATTGTTCAGGTTTTAATTTTTTTTTTAAATTTTTCTAATTTATCATTAATTATATGATTATCCATTTAACTTTTCCGTTAAATACAGTTAATTCACCGTTAGTCTAATTATAATATTAACGTCTAATATAGAATTATAATTACACCATTAATCTAATTCTAATATTAAAGTCTTAATAGAACTTAACCACAAATCCTAATGTCGAAATCTACTCAAACAATATTAGTATATGTTTAATATTTTATGTCCTAATTTTT